ACAAAGTAGTGCCAGAAGCTACACAAATGTGCAAAGTACAATAAACCATAGCACACATTTAGATCTAATTTACTGTAGTCCTAGAAAATGTATTTCTGTTCTTTTGCATGTTCTGCTTTACCTCGCAGGGTAAGTCTATGAATAAGTGTCAATAAAATGTATGAAATAACTATCCGTAGAGCTCTACATCACAAAATATCCAGATGCAGTTATCTCTAATTGTAGGATTCACTCTAAACATGATCCAAATCCAACCAGGTACTATTTGTTTTTTAAAGCAGGCCTTTCTTACTCCCTATCTTTTGATGCTAAATTGCACACTCCAGGCTGGTAATCTTTTAACTCTGACATTTGACAGTAAGGCTGATGTACTGTATCTGTGGCAAATTTACAAGTAGAAACCAGACTCACACAAGTTCCATGAGATTCAAATGATTAGCCAAAACAATGTCTTCTGTTAGTCCTCAATTCAGCTCTAAATGGTAATATTGCATACTTAAATACACTATATTCCCAAAAGTATTGGGACACCCCTCCAAATCATTGGATTCAGGTGTTCCAATCACCTCCATGGCCACAGGTGTATACAATCAAGCACCTAAGCACGCAGACTGCTTCTACAAACATTTGTGAAAGAATGGGTTGCTCTCAGGAACTCAGTGAATTCAAGCGTGGTACAGTGATAGGTTGTCACCTGTGCAATAAGTCCATCCGTGAAATTTCCTTGCTACTGAATATTCCACGGTCAACTGTTAGTGGTATTATAACAAAGTAAAAGGAACTGGGAACAACAGTAACTGGATGGAGCTGACAACTATTCCCTGAGGGAGCCAAGGAGACGGCTCCGCAGAATTCTCATCGTAATGACAGATCAGCGTCCCCTGGTTACCAGGGAATAGTTGTCAGCTCCATCTTGACAGCAGCAGCGGCTCCTCTCAACTTCCTCCGGCTCCTCAGGTCTGCTGTGTGGCTGCCTGTGAGTGTGGGCTCCTGACGATGAGAGCTCAGCAGAGCCGGCTTTGATATCACGGCCGCCTCGGCTGAACTCTCATGACAGTTCAGCGTCCCGTGGTTACTCGGTAACCAGGGGTCGCTGAACTGTCATTACAATGAGAGCTCAGCGGAGCCGGCTTTGATATCACCGTTGGCTCCGCCGAGCTCTCATTGTAATGACCCGGCCAATAGAAAATAGTTGAGCGGAGCTAACTGTCACTCCGCAGGGTTTACATCGTAATGACAGATCAGCGTCCCCTGGTTACCTCGTAACCAGGGGACGCTGATCTGTCATTGCAAGTGGCCGGAGCCAGCTGTGAGATGACGGCTGGCTCCGCCCAGCTGTTAGTAGCAGGCTTTCGGACGGCCAATAGCCAGCTGTTTGGCCCGCTTCAGCTTTCACCTCGGCTCAGTCGAGCCGAAGCATATGCCTTCGGCTTGACTGAGCCGCTTGGCCAACTTCGGGAGCTGTAAGGGCTATAGTGAATAGCCCGTACAGCAGCCCTTCGGTGCTGCTGAACCGAAAGGGCTCAGGCGGCCGAAGCTAGCCGAAGGATCAGCCGTAGCTACGGCTGATCCTTCGGCTAGCTTTGTGTGCGTGTAAAGCCATGTGCGTGTAAAGCCAGGCGTCCCAATACTTTTGGCAATATACTGTATATAAAGAATGAGCAAGGAACACACAATGTTTCAAGCCATAAAAATTTTCTTCTTTGTTCAGCTTATATTTTACAGTGTAATAACAATTATTCTGCAACAATCAATAATTTTTGTTCAATTGGTTTTCTGAAAGACAATATCACACACAAACAAAGTTCACGGGACAGTGGGTTAGGAACAAAAACCTATATTATATGGGACAAAGTATAAAATGGTACAGTACAAATCTATGCAACAGGATATAACTAATTAGGTGGCTGAATATACCTCACTTCTAAGGGGGTGATGTTAATTTCACCTTACAGTATTGCATAGTATGATCCAGGTGGGTTTGTATATGAAGAGAGTAAAAAGTGGTTGAAGTCACTCACTACTGAGAAGGGTCAAAAGTTTGGTCTTGAGGTAGGTAAGGAGAAGAACATCCCATGTTAGGGCAGATAAAGTGTGAGAGGGGTTATGTGTAAGGTAAGTTAGAGAGGTAAAATGGTAGGAGGATGTGGAAAGGGGTGATGTGGAGAGAAGAAGAAAAAAGAGGAGAGACCATAGGTAAAGGGGGTAGCAAGAAGGAGTATTGATAATGAGGGGGAAAGGCAAGGGATGGGAAGATGGAATGTGGATAGGCCATAAAAAAGGAAGGACAATCAGGGGGTACATCTTCCTAGTTTGCATCCAGCTTAAAATTTCACTGATAGAATCTCAGTTCTGGAATTCCTGGGGTCCCCTAAAGACCTTCAAAGCAACCCAGATTAAATGTAGGTATCTTGAGTATCTATTTCTTGACCCATTCTAGAAAGGTTGGTGCCTGCTGTGAAAAGCAAAAGATATGGCACATTGATCCCGGATGTCACAGTGTAATTTTCATAATGCTATTAGTCAGTGTTTTTTAAACTATGGGTCAAACTGGGTAGCAGATGTGTTTGTGATGGCTCACTAATGGCTCTGTAGTAAACATAACCTAGTTTGTCGCAGTGCAAAATCAGTGGCGAGTGATATGGCACACATTATTAATCTATATTTCAAATTGTACCCTACTGCGATCTGAGACGTTGCCTATACACACTGCGGTATATACGTATATAACAGATTGCATTCATTTCTATCGGGTGAAAACATAATAAATATTCCCACCCAAGGCACCACTTCCTATCTCCACAAATGTGACAATTAAACTAATATGATTGACAGCACACACATGTATGAGGGACTTCAGCACATGCAAGAAGAGGGCAGAGGGAATTACATAAACAAGGCTGTTGAATGAAGAGACATTGCTGCTATTTGAAATGTGAAAAATAGAATATGATGAATTTATTACTTTTGGCTTTACTAAATCTAACGGAAATGGTGAAGTGCATCAGCAAAGTGTTATACAGCCATTGTTATTTTTCTTTGTTCATCTTTGCTGACATTTTGGTAATAATTCCCTTACTGACTTCCAGTAGAGTAGCAATATTTTTATTTAAAGGTCCTCAGAATAAAAAGTTTAAGAATCCCTGCTAGTATATAGTAAGGGATGTGAATGTGGAAACTGGTAGTCTACTTATGTTTCAATTCCATCAGCACTTTATCAAGTCTTACGATGTGTATGCAGTATTCTAGAATTTGCCCTTTAAAAACTGGTTTGGTTGCTTTTGACACTAGAAGATCACTGCAAAAGTTTTCTGCACAGGAAACTTTGACACCAATAAGTTTCCTATGAGTAAATTTCTTCTGTCCCCATGTACAGAAATGCATAGTACATACAAAGTGCATACTAGAGATTGTGGCATATCAATAATCATCAAAACCTTAATTCTAAGAAACTAACCCTAATCCCCCAAACCTAATCTGGAACCTAACCATCATCTACTAAGTCTATTGTAGGAAATCTAAGACTGACTCCTATCCCTCAGCCTAGCACTAGAAATCTAAATGTATCCCTAACTTTACACCTAACCCGATCCCTTACCCCCTACTCCTAACTAAATATTAGCCATAAGACTAGCACCAAAACACTAAAAACTAAATCTCCAGGACCAAAACAAATCTACAGCATAGCATTATGTATTTCCAAAATTTGGGCACTAACATACAAATCATCACTGCAAAAAAAATGAAGTAAAAAACAAACTGAAATATAAGTGTCAATCAAACAAAAATATATATGGCAAATGTGTCTGAGAGTGTTTGTGGGTTGATGTAAGCTTTGATGAATCCCCTCAATCCTATTCATCAGCTTTTTTTTTTACAATATGGGGGTATTGCAATCTTCACCTATATTTGTTGCATCAGTGCCATCAAAGCTGAACTCCAGGCATACAGTTAAATAAATGCTTTAAATAAATGTTATTGTCTAACTTTTTCTTTACATGACTTGACAATCCTTTTAAACGATAATCACTTTGATGTGTTTATATTTTCTTTGTACAATACAACTTTTTGACCATATTGTCAGGCTTTATTACCAAGTTCTTTGATGCTTTGGTGTCAGGATATATATGGCTGTTTAACAGCTTGTCTAAAGTAAACCTACTTCCATAGTGATTTCACTTTTAGTATTTAAATAAGGTTATTAGCCTTACCTTTAGTATTAAAATTGGGTTAATAGTCTTAGATTTAAATTGATTCAATTCCCTTTTAGACCTCCTAATGGTTATAACACAAATGTACCAATTTTGCAGGAATCAGGTTTTCATGTTCATGTAGAAACCTTTGTTTAGTTTGTCTTTTCTTCCTTCTGGGGGAGGCAGGTCATTTAATGTCATGTAATATTAGCCACACTTTCCTCTTCCTCTCTGCAGTTTTTACACTTCTAGTAAACTAGTAAATGAACACAAATAACATCCGGATAGTGTTCTTTGAACTCTCACAGACCAGAAATTAATTAATGGCAGCAATATTACTTTCTAAAAATACATTTTTCTTCTAGACAAAAGGCATGACATGGGGTAGATCTAAACAGTAGAGCAATGTACAGAACCAAGGTTACATATAACATTACAAATGGGACCATGGTACATGTATTTTCTTTGATATCTTCATATACAGGTTTTACTACACTTTCATAACATCATTGTAGTACATTACAGTAGCTCTGGCACTTTTCAGTGACACAAACTGCAGTTCAGGTTTTTCTCAGTGGTTTTTTATGGCTTTTTTTTGCAGGAATTAATACCATCTGCACTATTATAATAAATGTGCATTCAAAGCCTACTAATGACATACCATTATTTTCAAGGACAGTACTATATAACAATTATAACAGAATAATAACAGGAAGCAGCAGAGCTCCTTTGGATTTACCGAATAGCCTCTTGTGTCATTCCCTGCAAATTGCTGATAATTTATGGTGTCAATAGCAATTGACTTACCTAGAAACTGGGGTAACGTAATTGCCTGGGAAAACGCCAGATCCGCCAGTCCGGAGGGATGTGCCTTTGAACCAACCATCTTGGCATTTTTCTATTACTCTGTACATCTCTCCCTTGCGTAACTCCAGCTCATCATTCTTTTGTGGCTTGTAAGCATACAGGGCTAAATATCTGTATAGAGATTAAAATGACTCAATAATCTGAATAAACTATGTAAGGCAAGAATAAACATAAACATTCTTATTAAAAGAAACCAATGTTACTTATGATACACTGTTGAGAAAAACCTGCAAAAGTGGGAATAAAAATGTCTCTTTTAGGACGGAAACAGCATATTGAGGATTATGGCTCAATGCAGACAAGTGCCGTGTGACATGTGTAGGCACTAATACTGATGTCCTTTTACTTCAAGCTATTCCATCCCAGTTTAGGGGAACGCCAAACACTGGGTCAGTGCAAGATCCATAAAATAAGAGTACCAATTGAAATTCCTTCTCTAAAATAAAATTTTCATAAAACCATATACAACATAATAAAAGTGAACAGTCAATGGTTTTGGCATAATACATGGTACAGCATTTGCAAAAATACTTTATTACCTATTTTGGGTCAGGTTTTAATATGTATATTTATGAACTGTTACAAAAAACAGAGCAAGGGGTAAAACAATTGGATTATAGCTCTTTTTTTTCTAATTTTTGTAACTCATCCCTTCTTTTGTTTTTTTTATACATATATTTATTTATAACTTAAAGCAAATATAATTTTATATCATTTTTATTGGAAAAATATATATATTTACATACTATGTGATGGCGAATGCTGCCACGATTCATGTTAGATTAGAGCTGGGAAAGCTCCTGATGCAGTATTGGAACTGAGCTTTTGCAACTGTTTAAGATCTATTTGGCATGCTAGAAGTAACCTACTACGAAACATTACACTGTAACATGATGAAGGGGTGGCTCCCCTTGGTTTGAATTTTTTATGTACATAGCACATAAAAGGTTTGGGATATAGGGGGCAGTAAGGGCTTGTTGACACCAGATACATACAATGCATGCAAGTGTTAACACATGCAATTTTGGATGCAGGACGTACATGGTGAAAAACCCTATTCAATTTACTTTTTGGGGTAAATGCAGATAAGTGCATCAAACCAGAGGCATGCACGACATTGTTCCCATTAGTGTGAGCAGGCCCTGTAGAAAACAATGGGGAATTTAGTAACCAATTAGTTTCTCTATTCAGTTTACTCAGTTAAACTTTGAAAATGAAAGCTAAAAGCTGATTGGTTGCCATGGGCAACTGCTCCAGATTCCATCTGCTCCAGTTTTGGTAAATTCTGCCCAATGTGTTTCCTATGTAATTTCACTGCAAAATGCAGGAGAATGTATGACAAGATTACCACAAATTAAATAAATCCCCAGTATTCTTTTTCTTTTACAGAAAGGGTGTGATTTTTGTCTACAGTGTTACTGGGGCAATTTTAAATACAAGGACTGCTTAGTGAATGTTTTTGTTAATGAAATGTGATTATGTAGAAATATTTGTTACATCCAAAGTGTGCTTTCATTATATCTAAATATGGCATAACAATAATACCATTTTTTATGTGTTTATTCTCTTTCATCATGCTGTACAGGTAGCATGATAAAGAGTCTGTCTGAATGAAAAGATAACATAAAAGGCAGTGCTCCTCAGCTGTAATGTTCCCATAAGTAGATGCTTCTTTCAAATGAAGAATCCGCTTACATTTTGCACAGGTGAGTGGACTTATTAGATACCATTTATTTTCCATACTATCTTCCCTGCAATCTTAATGATGTTACTATCTCAGAGTAGAACATGGTGAAATCCTTCACATTATTTTTCTCTTCTATGCATGTTGAAATTGTTGATGGTTACAAGTCATACCTGATGTACCGGAACATAAAAGAAGAAAACACCTCCATCCTTCACTCTTATGACCCTGCTGTCTCGATTGCAGCATTGAGGATGCACAAATTGTATTGTACTATTTCATTAAAAATGATCTAGCTTTTAATGTCAGTGAGCAACTGGATGGCAAAGACAAAACTGTTTCAATTTAACCTAATGGAATAATCCAGGTTAATTACTCTCAGTCAACTCTGAAAAAGTGGAAATGGGAAGTGTTTTTCAAAACTGCAAATGTGCATTTAACTTCAAGGTAGCAATGAGTAGGAAAAGCACAATAAAGACATTCAACTTATATTATTATTATTATTATTATTATATGCTGCTTTCTACCGACTGCTAAATGTTTACACCCTATACTTGCATGCATTGTGCTCCAGTGCACTTTCTGTAGCCTGCAGCATCCTCAGCCTTTCTTCTTCATCCTAAAGTGGTGAGCAGCCACTGCTATAATCAGTCCAGCAGTGCAAAGGAAGGAGCAACAGTGCTCCCTGATTCTTTAGAGGGGGCAGCATTCCCCACCTACAGGCTTTAGGAGTTTATTCATGGAGGTCAAGGCTCCAGCTTTTGCAACCCAATAGTGCTAAATGTCTGCAGACCCCTCGAACATGTGATGGATCAAGACAGCGTCTTACTAGCCAGGAACTGTTAGAAGGGGTAAAGTGGCGTGACCTAATGATCTCAATTAATGGACTGTGTAGGCTTGTACTACTACTATTGCTTATCTTATTGTGAATAATTGCCTGCAACCAGAAGAATACTCACTCTGTGCTACGTTGTGCATACATAGGCTACATTCCTCCTCAAAGACTGCCACCGTATCGTGGTGAAGAGGTATGCATGTTCTTTTATGACCCAGAAGCTTATGCAGCTGGCATGGTCTCACAACCCTGACAGGTTGAAGGGCAGGGGTTAGACCACAGTGCCTGGATCACAAGTCTAGCTGAACAAAGTTACAAATCTTTTGTCAGAAAAGTAAGTCACAGATATCTACTTCAACCATGTATTCAGTGGTTTGCCTGGAGTTCAGCTTAAAGTGTATTTCCACTATTTTATATTTGTTCCCATTCACATAGAATACGCTACAAAAATATACAAAAATGCTTATTGCAGTTTAAATTGTTTTTAAATGGGTTAGTGTTTTAATGGTTTAAAAAGGTTCTATTTCTTGAAATGTTAGGAGGTGCTGTGAGGGATGAGGGGGTCTAAGGTGGCTTGTCTGTTGTATGTTAATGAAGCTTTTCAGATAAACACAATCCTCAAATTTCAGTCCGAAGTCTTTCTATAAGGACAGACCACTGTGAAAGGGCTCAGAAAAACCTGGAATCAGCCATCTTGCCTGATTTAACAAAACATCTAAAAGGTAAGAATTTTGTTTGTAAAAGTTATTTTTCAGTATGCTGTGTGAATAGGCATACATAACGAACATGTAGATAAATGGCTTGGCCAGCTGATTTGAAAAATGTTCCGGAGGGCTTGGCAGCGAAAGGGTTAAACATTTATGATTTTTTTTTTTTCCTGTAGTCAACTTTCTTTAGCATCAATTTATGTCTACTTCTGCCATGCTGACTTATCAGCTGAACAGGTGTTAGCTAAAATGTTAGTAAAAATTAAATATTAAAATTCTGCCAATTTTGCAGTATTTTGAAAAAAACTTTGCACATTACTGTAAACCATTCGTTTTTATCGGTATTTTCAAAGGGAAGTATTAAATGGACAAATGCATACTGTGCAATATGAGAAGGGTATAAACATTAGCACTTTTTAGAATTACACTGATCTAGGCATAATGTATTGACACAGCAGATGTTTTTTTCTCATCCAAGGCCAGCAACAAGTAATATGTTATAACAATATAGGCAATATATCTGAAGACATCTGAAGAACTCATTTTTGTTATACCTGTATACATACAGTATGTGCTGTTAATGTGACTCTTGATGTAAATGTTTGCTTATGGTAATTCATGCTAATATATTTGTCTACAGGGGTTGTTTTCATTCTATGTAGTAGGGGAATCCTATCTGTTTTTTGTTTGTTTAAAAAGATTCAATAAAACAGATTAAAATATGGAAGAGTAGGCTATGGGCACCTTAGAGTTGCAGGGAATGGAAGGAGTACTTAGATGCAGGTAGAAACATCACAAGATGAAAATGAATCAGATCTAGCTGTGTACATAATATAAAATACTGTATATCATGCACAGCCACCCTGTGCATGATACTGCAAGTGGCATCCAAACACGCAAATATTGTGACAGTAGTACATAAGAGCCCATTATTTGAAAAAGTAATGGGTATCATACTCTTACCTGTGCCTCCTATCCTACACAAACCCTCAGATTACTAATTTCTTCAGTTATACCTCTGCCATAGTGTGATTGTACATTAGCAACCCCAAATGTATTTATCTTTTCAAACTATATACAAGCTTTTCTGCTGCAACTTACACATTAAGAGGTAATTGAACCTTTGCTGAAGTCCCTTGTTCTCCATTAAGTGTAGTTGTCTTGGGACTTGAGGCTCCTGCTCCAGCTGAAGTACCAAATGTGGTAGAATCCTGCATACAGAGAGAATAATGGAAAGAGCAGAAGTAAATACATACTGCCAGAAAATATGGGAGCAGACTGTATTCCTGCAGGTAAACTACATTTAAAAAAACAAAAAATTAAGGACACTTTTATTATACATGAAACACAATTATTTTATATTTTGAGCATGAACAGGTTATTCAATTTGCTTAATACATATGCAATGTAAAAAAACAATTCAAGAAATGGAGGTTTGTGATTTACAGAAATGTTTAATTTCAAGGTATGATTATATATTATGGGGATGCATGCAGCTTATCTATTTAACTGTGGCACTGCTAGTGTTGCAAAAAAGTTCAAGGAAGTTATGTTTCTAGATCAGTTTTTCAATTTGTTTCAAATGGAAAAATATATACTAAATATGCAGTTTGGCCCCTTTGTCTTAAGGAGCTTTTTGCATCATTATGTCAAACTATAAATAAAGTTCTTGGAGCTGCACATTACAGTTTCAATGTACTCTTTGAGATAATATTATTTGTGAATAATAGATTCACTTGATTCCAATAGCCCCAAATCAAATGAAATTCTGTCAGGTAATCAAGGATTTAATGAGCCCTCTCTCTTTTACCATCACGGAGTCAACTCTTGCTATAAATTGTGCCAAAGAAAGGAGACCTCCTCTGTATTTTCTAAAAAAGAACCACTGTTTGTGATGAAAGAACATGGCTTGCTGTGTGTGTATATGAATGCAGGGTAAAAACTCTCAACTAAAACCTAGCAACACTTCCTACAGCATCTAAGTGGTAAACAATTTTGAATTTTGAAAACAACCAAAATTAACCTTTACAACAATATACTGGAGCAGATGTTGACTTCTGAAATTTAACATGATGGGGCTCAACTATAATAGTTCCACGATAGTATTTTAGAGGGACTTTAGCAGCACTGGATATGTGAGACAGCTACATGCAATAACACATATGTATGGCAATGTGAAGACTACAGAACAGTTAAAGAGGAACGTTACCTATATCTTTGAAATAACAACAAATACTCCTTTAGAACTGTTTAGTAATGACATTCTACTAACACATACTTATAGATAATTGCAAGATTTGTATTCTTTGCACACCTTCTTTTTCTTTTCCACCCCATTCTTCTCACAGGAGGACTGAGATTAAGATGTCTCCTTTTACTTCCTGGAACTCTGGCACATGTGACTAGGGCATGTGACCATGCACCTCACCTCAGGTGAGGAAAATGCCTTTCCCTGAGATCTCATTAGATTACAGGTGAGATTTCCCAGCAATTCCCAGATTTTCCCTGCTAAAGTACCCTACCCAGAGTGCAAATGTTGGGCACATTACATCACTAATACAGAAGAGTACCAGGAAGTGCGAAAAAAACATTAATTGTGAGTAAAAGAAAATTATATTTGTTTAACTAATGAATTGGTGATTCCAAGATGATTTCATATCAGCATTCTGCATGCTGGTGTCATTTTTAGTGAAGGGGGTAGAGGTCCGCTTTAGGTTTTATTTAAAAAAGTTACTTCATTTTAGCACAAAAAAGATTATGTCATAGATAGAGCCATAGCAAGCAATGTATTATACCTTTCCCTCTTCTAAAATAATAATAAATAATGCTATTTCCTCGCTCTTAAGAAAACTAACCATTCATGGGGTGCTTCGTATGTTACTGAAACAAATGTGTATAACCCTTGCATAAAAGTGTGGAAATAGGAGTATCAGTAAGTTTTTTCTGTTTACAGACATATTTTAAAACAGCCATTGGACAGACTAAGCAATAATGTCATGTGCTCTAAGACTGCCTTAGAGCACATGACATTATTGCGCATGTGCCAAATTGGGCCCATTACATTCATGTCATAATCAATACTACTCTATCAATAGTGAGAGCAGTAGAGTAGAACAGCGGGCCCCTTGCATGGAAAGTATCACCTAGGTAAAGAAAATATAACCAAGATATTTTCATTCAGATGCAATATCACTCTGAATGAATGGCCATGATTGCTGTGGACATGTAGAAAATTGTCTGCTCCTTTCGGCAGCAGAGGGGGGTTGATCTGCCAATTTGTCACTGCAATGCCAGACACATATCAGCATGACTCCCGGCTCTCTTTAGAAACTCTAGCAATTCTATGTTGTCACAAGGGACGTCAGCTTGTTAACAGCTTCTCTGCAGGTACTGTAAAGCTTCTCTACTGGAACTTAAATGGAAAGCAGTCAAACACCTCATTAGTGTGTCCGCTTCACTACTGTGCAGATAGGGGTCCTGAGGTGGATTGGAAGTTAATCTTACCTGGGTGTCTCTTCTAGGCAAAGGGTTAAAGGCCACTTCAAGTAATAGGAATTTTTTATATTTTAAAGAAACTCATTTATAACTATCAGACTGAGCAGTTTGTAGAATGATGATTAAGGATTCGATCACAATAGCCCGCATGCCAACACGCTCAGCTTCAGTGTGCAGACTAGTATGGTATGACAGGACAGGCGGGTGGGCAATGTGATGCACTGTCTTAGTGTACTGCACTGCACATATTATGGTGTCAACATAGCACATAGAAAACAATTGTTTTCTATGTGACTTAGTGGTGGCTGGAGTTGTTCAGTTGCTGAAAAAGCCAGTCACTGCTCATGGTGTTAAAGAACCCTCTATGTTTGAAGAGTTTTATTTTATTTACCACTTCTTAACCAAGATAATATTGTTGCTGGGACATGAAAGATTTGCTGTGCACCCTAGCCTAATTTACTAAAGGGGTAGAAGCTGCTCATTTAGCTACAAAAATGTTGACTTTGCCAAGTATTGAATCAATTTACAACGTAAATGTTAGTAAATAGGATGAACCATTGAAAACCAAATCAAGTGTAGGAGACATTTTTAAAAACTGCAGTTTTGCAAGGACATGGTTCGTTAATTAAAATGAACACAGCATCACTATTTACTAAGCTCAATCAACATTCACTATAAGTGAACTATAGGAATCTAGCAATGCATTCCAATGGGCAAAAACGTTTTTGTTTTTTTTCTATTCTGACAAGGCTCCGTGTCAGAATAAAGAAAAAAAAAGAAAAATCAGTGTTTCTGTCCTGGGCGGCCGGGAGCAGAAGGCTCCCAGAGCGCCCGGGAGAAATTTGTTTTTTTTACGGCATCAGAACCGTCGGACAATAGAAAACTGTTGGGCGGAGCTAGCTGTCATTGCTAGCTCCGCACAATCGAAGCCATGCGAAGCAAGCCGATGTACCGCTGATTTCAGCCAATATACGGCTGAAAGCAGCCGTACAAGCATGAAGTGAATAGCCGAACAGTGTTCGGCTCACTTCACCTGGGGTCGGTTGTTTACTCGGCTGCCCTCGGCAGCTTAGTGAATAGACCCGTATGTGTTTAGTAACTGAATGCCCATGAATAGAGACTGTTTATTTTGAAAAGTGAGTGTTTTCTGAGCTTACTAAAGAAGAGGAAACTGAGTTCACGTACATCAAAACTAATATCCATATAACATATATTGGATGTTATATGGATATTAGTTTTGATGTATGTAAAGTTAGTACTCATCAATATAAATGGACTTTTTGTTAAGAGAAATCATGTTTTATTTTTCTGTTAATGAAGAAAACTGTGTATCTTTTCGTATAGTAGATCTGCCCTGCACTCCTGAGAACATCTAGTGGCAGAATATGATATGTTCAGGACAGGACCATATAAAAGCTTAAGCCTACTGAGCTCAGCATGCACGCCCTCCAGATGAAGTAAATTGTGACAAAACGCATAGATGGGTGGGTACATGCTGAGGTCATCCCCTAGGGGCTGTCGGGAGATATAGAGGACAGCAGAGCTTAATTTTTTTTTTTTTGCGATTGTTGACTTTTTATGTTTGTGAGTATTCTTAACCCCTTCGTGACTGACGATGTACAGTGTACGTCGCCAGCATCGGGGATGTTTAAACAGACTCCTGGCGGCTGTTGTTTAAACTTGTAAAGCCAACTGTCGGCTTTACAACAGAAGCGATTCTGGCGACTTACCTGTCGCCAGATCGCTTCTGTGTCCCGTAGAAGTGGCTGCCCCCCGCGCCGGACACTGCTTCCCGGGCTCCGTTGCCACTCCTACGGGACCGGCGTCCTTGGTGTCCGCGGGGAGCTGGGGAGGAGGTCGACGAACTTCCATTCATCGATCCCCTCCCCATTCTATGGGACCGGGAGCGATGCAGATTGCATCACTTCCGGTCCCTGGGCTGTCAGTTCTGGGCTCCTGCAGCCCAGCTATAAGCTATTGAAGTGCGATCTGCACTTCAATAGCTTATTTCCAGTGTAAAGGTGACACTGGGGGTCTTTTGGACCCCCAGCATCACCTTAAAGAGTACCTGTCACCACCATCTGCTATCACATGGGGGGGGGCTTGTAAGCCCCCCTATGTGATAGCAGTCAAAGTAAAGTAAAACAAATAAAAATAAATCTAATAATAATAATACAAAAAATGTAAAAGTCCCCCGCCCCTGTGAGCACGCGCGTCACCACGTAAACACGCGTCGGGTGCGCCTACGTATGAAAACAACTAAAGCGCTACACATGTTGGGTATCGCCGCGCACGCTGGAGTGAGAGCAATAATTCTAGGGCCAGTATTTTGGGGTATCTCTAAATTGATGACCTGTGGGGGCTTTCAAAGCATCTTCTATGGACTTTTTGGGGTACTGCAGTTTTTCGCCGTTTCATGGACGCACGCAATTTGTAACCTGGGAATATTGGGTATCGTTTTACTCGTTGTAACCTCATCTTTTATATTTCATTTAAAAAATTGGTACTTTGTTGTGTTTTGGGGCATTTAATTAAATTTTTCACTAAATGTTGGGGTTTAATAAGGAGTTGCGCTAATATTGCGCAACATAAAAATTTGCAACTACCACCATTTTATTCTATGGGGTCTTGGCATTCAGAAAATATATAATTCTTGGGGGTTATAAGTAATTTTCAGGCCTAAAATGTGGAATATAACATGGGTGCAAAAAATGAA